TTACTACCTTGATACCAAGAGAAAGATGAAGTTTGCCCAAATCTTTCATCTCAAAATCAAGAGCTAGAGACTCCTTTAGTTTTGTCATTTCTTCATCATCTTTTCTTTCCATTACTATATTGTCTATATAGACTTTGAGTATAGTAATCTTACCATGATAATACTTGAAGAATAAAGCATGCTTGGTATCATTTAGGTGATTTCCAACAAAGTCATGCTTGAAGATTGCTTCAGCTTGTAGAGTACTTTCTTCGTCCTGTGCACTTCACCTTCACTCTTCTCGATATCAAATTCTGGGTGAATCTCCATATAGACTTCCTCTAAATCTCCATGTAGAATAACATTTTTATCATCAAGCAACTGTAAGTCTTTGTCATAATTAGTGGCACATGACAAGAGTATTCTTATAGTATTTGTTTTTGCAACTGGAGCAAACCTCTCCTAGTAATGAATGTTGTATGTTTGGGCAGGTCTATTTGCCACCAATCGGACTTTAAATCTGTCAACAGTTACGCCGGCTTTATGCTTTACAATAAACACAGAGTTTCATCAGCTTTAAACAGTTTGTTGTTCTTAATCTATAGCCACAATTATGCACAGGAGTAATTTACATAAGTATCATCTTCACTTAATCGTGATTATAAAAATTTCCTCTTATTCTTTTAATAGAAAAATACTCCTTCAGTTAGTAATCTGTTAACTAATTGTTAGTGCAAACAATTTCGTAATTATATCAAATTGCCATTGCACTGTTACCTTGTCATATAAATCTGAAATTCTGTCAACTGTCAAACATACGTAGGATTGAGAAAATACTAATATAGAAGCTATTTTATAGCAAAATAAAAGTAAAAGGGTCTTTTTCTAAGTATGCTTAAATTAAAAGGGTATTTTTGCAAATTAAGCTATACATAATTATCAGTTATTAGGTGCATGAAAAATATTTCTTTTCTTGATGCAGGATTATGATTTTGCATCTCTGTCCCTGTTACAACCCTCACGCACTTTCTTTCTTCTTCATTTGTCTGCACATAAGCTAAATAAGCTATCAATTTTCTTGCTTGAACCTCTGATATACTTTGGTCAACTCATCAATAAAAGTTTTTGTTGAAATAAAAAATACTATGATGTTCTTTTTCATTTCAAACAAGTGAATTTACGATTTCGACATGGTGCACAAACAACCAGATCAGAAAGGGGCATGTTTTCGGACTGTTGAATAAGATAACAAGAGATTTTTGCTAAGGTTATATTTTGAAACAAATAAACTTTATTTTTGAAATCCATTTGGAAATCCACATTTAACTTAACTTTGAGAACGAAAAATCATTCCCAAAATTTTAAAAATTGATCTCCTAGATAATTGTAAGTGGAATTGAAAGAATAAATTTTAAATTTTGCCAAAATAATTTTAAAAGAAATTTCACAGATGAAGTCCAATGTAGTTGATGTTTAAGAGTATGACAATATATTACTATTCCTATTAGCCTCAGTTTTTGGAATTGGTTACAATTGATTAGTTTATACAGTATCACAGTCAATGATTTGCATCCAGGCTAAGTCGCAATTTCTAGTAATTTAATTTTAGCACAAGATATAGTAAACTTATGTTTGATCTACAGTTTCAGCCTAATAAGTGCGCATTTGAAAAAGCATATAAGAGCATAAATAATAATCTGGACTCTTTTCTGTTAGGTTAAGGTTTTAGGATAATTTGTCACAATTTATTAGTTTACGTTATGTTTGTTGAGAACATGATTTGAGCTACAGAACAAACAATAGAGGCAAAAAATACAGTGTGCAATTAGGATATGCTTTTAAATAAAATGGTCATAGATTGGATGAGTGAACGACATGAGAAATAATTTATACAAAAGAAGTAAAGTGAGAAAAGTCTTAAACTGTTTGCTAGTAATAGTGTTTTTAAACTCAAATGATAATCTGTAGTAGTTGTATTTATGCGAGCAAGGATGTGATATATGCTTAATTTTTTGGTGCAGGCATCTTTCTTTATTGCGTACGTTGTGACATCTGGGTGGACTAGTCTATCATCAGAACTTTTTCGTTTGCTTCCTCTCCTTTACAGCTTTATACAAAAAATATTTTCAAAAATAGATATTGATGGATTTGGGATCCCATCAACTCCCTATCACAGTGAAATTTCCAGAATTCTCTTCTTTGGACTTCTTGGTGTGACATACTTTTTCCTTGCACCACTGATCCTGCCATTTGTCTTGATTTATTATTTCATGGGATACATCGTCTATCGCAACCAGGTTGGTAGAATGTATCATTTTTATAGTTATAAAATGTATTTCCGTAACTTCGTACTTTTAATGTTCAGTGTCCTATTAAAAGTAGATTCATTTGCCAAACCTTGTAATACGCAATTGTTAATAGGGCTATGGATCTTTTTGAACCAGGTTTCTTCAGGGTCTTATCAAAACTTTTGGAAAACAGTTTTGCAAAATATTGATCAAAGGAGAATGTTCATTCTCTAGATCTCATGGCTTATAGATATGTGGCTTCAAAAGAATGAAAGTGCTGCCTTTCAGTTTGGTTGATGACTTTTTTTCCCCCCATGGTCATTCCTTGTAGAAAATCCTGAATGACATTTGCATCTGCAACCACCCAACTTGAAGCACCATCATAGTTTTATGTTTGATTTTTACCTCTTAGCATCTACCACTGTATTTCCACAAATCAAAAGATGTCGCTTGTCTTTGGTAGAAAATAAGAAAATAGGTTGGTTTCTGATGCAGAACAAGCACACCTTGCATAACTACCCATATCTAGAATGGTCAAAACTGCAACAGTGTTGAACCAAATGAAGTGTCCTTCCATGAGGGGCAACAATCATCTGTAGTGAATAGTTTGTCACCGACCTCGAGCTGTAGTGAGGGATTCAAACTCTCAATTTCGAGAGGGCATTCCCAAAGCCTTCCCACTTCAGCTACTCTTTGTTGGTGAAAGATTTTCTGTTTTTTCATGGCTTAATAATCTTGAAATTGGAGGAAAGAACAAGCAAACTGATATCACTCTTTTTTGGAAGATTCCTGTATAACATAAAATGTAAATATGCAGATGTAAGAGGCCCCTGGATTTGTCTTCATTTCTTTTGAAAGTTTTGTATTCTATTCTGTGGTTTTCGCAAATGATTTTATTTTATTTCTACTCTGAAATTGTGCTTTAGGTTCTAACAATGCATTGCATAACCGTGTTCAATTGTCAAATATGTGATGAAGTTATTAAAATTTGTTGTTGGCAGCTATTGAATGTATATGCAGCTAAGTACGAGACCGGTGGAAGGTTTTGGCCTATTGTGCACAATTCAACTATCTTTTCCTTAATATTGATGCACATTATTGCAATAGGGATATTTGGCCTCAAAAAGCTTCCGCTGGCGTCCAGTTTAACCATTCCTCTTCCATTGCTCACATTACTGTTCAATCTGTATTGCCGAAAACGATTCTTGCCTGTATTCAATGCTTATCCTACTGAGGTACCTCCAAATGCCATTCGAGTAGTTATCTTTATATGTAATTGTTACAGTTTTTAGTTCTGGTTAGTGTTCCTTCTAAATTTTTTAACCATTCCTTTTATTTTAACTGGTTTGCTCTTGGCATATGGCTTTTCTTAGAACCTAAGATATTTGGATTTTGTATTATAGGGTTTTCTAGTTTCAAATGTTCTCTCTTTAATTTTATATGTCGTTAGATGGCCTGCAGTACATTACATTAATAACCTCTTAATAATACTTTGGATTTTCTATTATAGGGCTCTAAATAATAATTTGGATTTTCTATTATAGGGTTTTGTAGTTCAAGTGTTCTCTGTTTGATTTTATTTGTAGATGGCCTGAGGTAAATTACATTACTACCCTCTTAATGATTTAAAGGAAACGCATGGTTGTCTGAGTGTCTCTTATCTTAAATTTATGTAGTTGTCAAGTCAACTAGCCAGAAACTTTATAAATAACTGAAATCAAATAAGCATTCTATGTATAGTATTTTAGAGGATGTTTGGGGCTGAAAGAAATGTTAAGTATGAGGCATTTTAGGCAACTTAATTAGTAGATTATTGAAGTAAAGCAGGTGCTTAATTTTAAAAGTAAGCAATGGATGAAAATGCCTCTTGTAAAAGGTAAATACTTGCTGTTGTCTGGTAAAGAAATAAAATAAGCATAAGAGGGTAAATAGGTAAGCTAACATATTAAGAAAATTAACACCAACCAATATTTAAAAATACTTTGGAAAAGAATTACTTCCTTATTAAGTTGCTTTTAAGAATTTCTCAAAAAAAAAAAGGTTGCTTATAAGAACCTGATGCGGTTCCGAATCACTATTGTTTGGATCAGCTATAAGAATAAGTGAATTTCAGTCCGGGGTTATAAGATCTGCAAAATAGGGCTCAAAGCCAAAAAAGAAGAAAAAACTAGTAAGTTTCTTATTACAGGGCCAAATAGATAGACTTGAACAGAATGCTTAAAGAGCATGTTTATAAGCACTTAATAAGCAAACCCAACCACCGACAATTAGCATGTCAATAATATGATTAATATCTGAGGAAAAGAAGCTTGAAAAAATTCTGATGTGAAGCAATCACAGGCCTTCGTATTAATTTGGACAACTCTAAGATAGTTTCCTTTGTTCATGGGGTTGCAATGGATGATCATGCTGATTTGTTCTGGATGGTAGATTTAAGAACCTTAGCATTTAACATACGAATAGATTGTCTTTGTTAGAGCAAGAATTTTCCTCCTAAAAGGTGGAAGGCTTACTATAACTGAGAGTATCCTGTCTACCTTGTCTGTAGTATCTCTCTATTTATCATTCCTTGGATTATTACCAAAAGACTGGAATCTATGCAGTGGCATCTATTGTGGGGAGATTCAGGGGATCAAAGGCGCTTCAGCCTTGTGGCCGATTTGGTAAAGAGGCCTATTGCCATGGGTGTCGATTGCATTATATATCCATCCATTATGAATAAGGCTCTTTTGGTTAAGCGGCACTGGAAATTCATGCACAGCAGGACTTATTTTTGGATAAAGGTAATAGTTGCTAAGTATGGATCGGAAAAGAAGAAGTTGGAGGAAGTAGACGGAGTCATGAATAAGCAAGGATTGCAGTTCTTTTATAAATCTACTCCATTTTAGGCTTGGAAATGGCCAGGCACTGAGTTTCTTGGTAGATCTCTGGTGTTGAGAGGTTATTGATGCTTGCTAAGGATAAGGAATCATCAGTTGAAGATATCTGGATTAGTGACGGTGCTAGATCTTGATCTTTTATCTCAAGTGGTCCCAGAATCTTAATGATTAGAATTTGACAACATCCTCCCTCTTTTGGCTCTATCGCTGTCTTGCCTTCTTGAGCTTTGCGTAAGAGACTTTTCAGTTGGGCCTTTCTCTAAGAATGGTCTGTCCTCAGTGAAGTTCTCCCAAGTTGGGGTTTTCCCTTGATTTTCTTGGAGGTAGATTTGGAATAAAAGAAGTCTCTCTGCACATCCTTCTTGTCCACCCTCAGACAGCTGCTTGGGCTAAAATTTTCATTTTCGATAACTTACAAAAAAAAGATAGGATCATCCTCAATGACTTCCACAAGTGCTTACAAGATAGAGAGTGAGTTCCCCAACCATCTACTCATTTGGTGTCTGGAGGCTAGAGCCTAGAA